TGGTGCTAAAGTTTTGTCGATTGTAAGGATTCTAATCGTGGACAGCATACATCCTGATACACTCTATCAGACATATTAGTAAGCACTCACGTGTTTGGATAAAGCTCTTGAATTTACTATTATCAAGAAAAATATAGAGGTACACAAAGAAACAGGAATTTAATTTAAGCTTTGAAGATAACAAATGCATTTGACTAATATGCAAGTAAAAGAGAAACAATATTCGATACAAAAAACATTCCATATTTAATGCTCTTTTTATATTTATATTTTATATTTATATTTTTATATTTCCTTTAATCTCTAGCAATTCACTTAATCTTTCGAGACTCGTTTCACCACTGGATGAAGTAGGATAATATAATTTGTTTCATGGTGCTCTGCTGAAAATAATGGATAAATTACAAAGTACAATTTAAAAGTATTAATTATTAACAAACAAAAGCTCCTGAAATAAACAAATCAATGTATAGGGCCAGGGCATAGTGGATCTTCCACTTAGAATGTAACAAACTGCTTAATATAGGAACAAATGGTAGATAAGAATGTGGGGAGGGGAAGAGATACAGGAACACAATGGTAGACAAGAATGGGGAGAAAGAGCTACAGGCCAGATCCAGCCACTGCTTCTCTTTATTGTCAACTCAATGTTGGAAGCTATCCACTGCACCACTAAATTCACCACTGGATGTGGTAAAACCCAAGTAGAAAGACACAAGCTTTAAACCAGCTCAGCATGGACTCTAACACTAAACACTAATCAGTTTGTTAATAATTCTAAATTTCAGCTTCCTTATCTATAAAACGAAGGTGGCATAGCGTGGAAATCGTTTTAAACACTGAAATGAGCACACACAAATAACACTTGTGAAGCGTGCACCATTATTGTAGACACACAGCTGACACTCTTCTACACCACCCTGTGATTAGCACCATTGTATGCCATTCTCCGACCGTGCTTTCTGTCTGCTTGCCTTTTCCTCCTCTGTGCTCGTCTCTTTCTTCTTCATGGGACTCTTTTGCCTCTCCACCTATCTCCGTACTTTCAACGTGTGTTTACTGAGATTACTCTCACTTGGAAGCATATACTATAAGCCAAGCACATTAGCTTTATTTAAATACAGCTGCCCTGTGCCCTTTAAAGCACTTCAAATTTATGTGCCAGTAAGCAGCACTCCTCCATGGTCTCTACTTCGGTTCCCACCTCCAGGCCTCTGCATAGAGCTCTTCCCCCTAAATCCCCTCATGATAAACTGAAAGCTGAAATAAAAACTTGGCCGGGCGGTGGTGGCGCACGCCTTTAATCCCAGCACTCGGGAGGCAGAGCCAGGCGGATCTCTGTGAGTTCGAGGCCAGCCTGGGCTACCAAGTGAGCTCCAGGAAAGGCGCAAAGCTATACAGAGAAACCCTGTCTCGAAAAACCAAAAAAAAAAAAAAAAAAAAAACTTCCCTCCCCAGAGTTGCTTTATCATAGCAACAAAAAGCAAACCAGTGTAGAAATCGGCACCAGAGAATGTGGTACAGCTGTAACCGGCCTAAACATATTGGTTCTTTGAAGATTGGAGGTGATTTTTTTGGGGGTGGAAACTGTAGGTTTGAAAAGCCATTGAGTGTTTGGTTCAACCAACATAATGGGTTGTTCTGTAGCAGCTTGGAAGATAAGAGTGTTGAAAGAGATGCAAAAAAAATGGAGGCCTGGCTTGGGAAATTTCAGAGGCAATGAAGGACTCTATCATGGCTGCTCATACGACATCTTGAGTTGAGAATCTGTGCTTTCTTGTCAGCTGGGGCTGAAGAGAAGAAGCTCTCATTAACCAGAGACCATCACTGAAGTGAAACCTTTGCTGTAGTAGGACAATTGATGTGGTTAGCTAGGACTGAGAAACCAGCTGTAGTTGAGAAAAGACCAGTCTGGTTGAGGTAAAATCTGCAAGGGAGTGTCTCCTTAGGGTCATCATGCAGAAGCTGTGATCCACAGGGGTCAATGATGCATCACATGCTCATAGCCAAATCTGGTAGTGTGCAAGAGTGCCCACATGTCTGTTACTGGTTTTGGTAGCATGAATGCTGTAGGACTGAGGGAGTCACGGTGAGAAGCTGAGGCTTGGCCCTGTGAGGGGCAAAGAGAGGCCAAAGACACCATTGGTAAAATGACAACCTCAATGGCAGTGGAAACCCTAGGACTAAAAGGGTAGTGGAGAGAAGCTAAGGGTTGGCACTGGGTGGCAGAGTTGGAGGCCCTGAAGAGAGGCCAAGAGAGGCCGTTGGTGAGAGTGCAGCCTCAGCTTCTTGTAGATGCCAAGACCATGTGATAGCCACAAAGAACAGCCGCAGATGTGGAGTGAGCAGGGCTGAGCCTACATGACAGGGTGTGTGTAGGGTTGTGTTGTGGAGACCAACACCAGAGAAGTGAAGCTGCCTAAGCCCTTTACAGCCCAGAGGATTTTGGGACCTTGAGCTAGTTATACTGTTGAATTTTAGTTTTGCTTTGGTTTTATTGCCCTGGTTCTTCCCTCTTGGAAAAGAAGTATTTAACTTGTTTGTTTGTTTTTAATTTTGTAGAAACCCATAGTTGAGAGACTTTGGATTTGTGAAGAGTTTTTAAAGAGAACTTGGTCTTTTAAAATGCTTAAATTTTTAAAGACTCTGGGATTTTTAAAGTTATATTATGTTTTCTACTGTGATAGTAACAAGGGATCTTGGGGATATACAGGAAAGGAAAGGTTATTGACTTAGGAGTGATTTGCTTGTCAGAGTGGCAAGGGGTCAGTTGTGCTGGCTAGTTTTTCATCAGCTTGACACTAGCTGAACTCATCTGAAAAGAGGAAAAGTCAACTGAGAAGATGCCTACCAGACTGACCTATAGGCAAGTCTGGGATTGGGGGGGAGCATTTACTTGATTAATGATTGATGTGGGAGGGCCTAGCCCACAGTGAGTGGTACCACCCTTGGAAGGTAGTCCTCGGTTATATAAAAAGCCAAACTGAGAGAGCCAGGGGGAATAAGCCAGCAAGCAGTCGGCTTCAGTTCCTGGTTCCGGTCCTGCCCTGCTTAAGTTCCTGCTGTGACTTCCTTTCATGATGGACTGTAGCCTGGGAGTTGCAAGATTAAATAAACCCCTTCCTCCTCCATGTTACCTCTGGACACGGTGTTTTCTCACAGCAGCAGGAAGCAAATGGGCACAAAAGATACAGCTGGTTGGGTATTACGGTCAACTTGACATAACCGAAGAGTCACCTGGGAAAAAGGAACAACTGAGGAATCGCCCAGTTCAGACCTGCCTGTATTGGTGCCCGGGAAGGCATTGTTTTGATAGGTAGTTTGTGTGCGAGAGCCTGGCCCACTGTGGATAACACCATGCCTCGGCAGGTCGACCTCAGCTATACAAGAAAACCAGCTGATCAAGTCAGAAAGAGAGCCAGGAAGCAGGGTTCCTCCCTGGTTCTTTTCTCCAAGTTTCTACTTAATTTCTTGCCCTGACTTCCCTCAATGATGGATTATAATCTAGAATTGAAGCTAAATAAACCTTTTCCTTCCCAAGTTGGTTTTGGTCAAAAAGGTTTTATAATAGCAACAGAAATCAAATTAGAACAAGAAAGGTGTGGTGAAATTGTGTTCCCCAAAATATTGTGCACCCTAATATACTTATCTGGGGTCAGAGAACAGAACAGCCACTAGATATAGAGGCCAGAAAATGGTGGCACACACACTTTTAATCCTAGCATTCCAGAGGCAGAGATCCGTGTGGATCTCTGTGAGTTCAAAGCCACACTGGAAACCACCAGGCATGGTGACACATGCCTTTAATCTCAGGAAGTGATGGCAGGAAGCAGAAGGTATTTAAGGCATGAGGACGAGGAACTAGGCCTGGTTAAGCTTTTAGGCTTTTGAGCAGCAGTTCAGCTGAGATCTATTCTGGATGAGGACTCAGAGGCTTCCAGTCTGAGGAGACAGGATCAGCTGAGGAACTGTCAAGGTGAGGAAGCTATGGCTTGTTCTGCTTCTCTGATCTTCCAGCATTCACCCCAATACCTGGCTCCAGGTTTGTTTTTATTAATAAGAACTTTTAAGATTCATGCTACAAAAAGGTAGACAGGTGGTTAAGGGTAGAAGATAAATAATAGATGAGAGAGAGAGAGAGAGAGAGAGAGAGAGAGAGAGAAAGAGAGAGGATAGATAATAGAGATTATGATTACAGATAGATGATACAGATGGATGGTACATAGGTAACTGATAGAAGTAGACAGATGATAGAAAGGTAGAGATAGAGAAATTAATAGATATAGAATGTAGATGAATTTCTACGCAGTCTTATTAAATAAAAAACATGGAGCCAAATATAAGGGTGAAAGCCTTAGTGATCAGGGAAATAGGAATAGCCACCAGCTAACCTTATCTCACCACAGCGCAACTTCCAAAGTCTTAGAAACCCCAGCTACAATAGAATAGTTGTATAGACAAATAATAGATTATAGATAACTGTGATGAGTAATTAATAGAGATAGGTAGACAGGTAGTAGGTAGATAGAAGATAAAATAGATAAATGATAGATAAGTGATACATAGACGGATAACAGATGGATAAATGATAGAAATTGATGATTGACATAGACAGATGATAGAAGGGAGACAAATGATAGATAAGAAATGGATGACTAATAGCCACAGGTAGACTGTTGATAGGCAGATACATAGAAGATAAACATATAATTGCTGGAAGTAGACAGACAACAGAGATAGCGTATTGATATAAATAGACAACAGAAGACAGAGACAGAGGATGAGATAGATGATTGATAGATTTTATAGTCAGACCGATGAATTATAGATAATCTTTATTGCCAGGCAGCACATGGAGCCAGTTATCTACTGAAATGGATCAGTGTACACAGAAATCAAAAGGATCAATCCCCCCCCCCCCCCCCCCCCCCCCCGTAACAACCACAGCATGACAGTGAATATACTTGGTGAGTGTCTGAGCATGTCCTCTCTGCCCTCAGGTCGACGCCCATGGCAATATTCTCCTCAGCACCCTGGAAATCAGGAATGAGACCAGCGGCTCCGAGGTGCTCACAGGTGTGAGTGACCCCAAGGCCACCATGTACTCGTATGACAGTGCCAGCATCCAGTACCGCAAGCCGCTGAGCAGCCGCGAGGGCTTCGGGCGCGGGCTGGACAGGCACGGGATGCCCGGCAAGGGGCGCATCCGCAGGCGCGCCTCGCAACTCAAAGTGAAGATCCCTGACTTAACTGACGTGAACTCCATAGACAAGTGGTCCCGAATGTTTTTCCCCATCACCTTTTCCCTTTTTAATGTCGTTTATTGGCTTTACTATGTACACTAAGGTCAGTCTCATGGTTTCATTTAGACTCTTTTCCTTGGCTTGTTTTCTAACCCCACAGGTTCCCAACAGCGATCACTGCTGTGGTTTTTGAGGTAAGAGATTCAGCCATCCAATTGGTTTTCGTGTCAGTTTTTCTTATCACACCATGTTTACTTCAACAACAACAAAAGGGTATTTTTTTCCTGTCTACTGTGGTCCAGGTTATTAGCTCTGTAAGAGTTCCGTCGATTGCTTTGTTTACAAACACAAGAGAGAGAGAGGTAGATGGGTGGTAGCTATTGTTGGCAGTCTTTCCTAGTTGCCCTGGATCTTGCCGAATAATTTGAAAATGAAAATGTACAATGGACCTTGCTGTCCACCTGCACTGTGTTCTGAGTAAACTGTAATCATCTCATTCTGCCAAAAACAAAACAACAAAAAAAAAATGTTTTTAATGACAAGAAAAAGAAAAAAAAAACTAACTTCAGCATCTCAGAAGAATAAAGCCATTGATAAGCTGCAGGTTTCCAGGAAGTGGGGATATAATGCTGACAGTTTCCCTTCCCTCTGAAGTTCTCCTGAGTCCCTTCCTGAAGGCTTCTCAGCTCTGGAGAAGAGGGACCTCAAAGCTAGTGTCAGTCACCTTTTCTCCCAAACTCACCCCCCATCCAACAGTGACCATGGAGATCCATACCAATGCTTCTTTCTCAAACTGCCCAGATGTTCAAAGTTAGTATTAGAATCCAGCCTGATCTAACCGGTAGTCACTGAGAACATTTTTCTTTTCTTCTCAAGAATAAAGAGTTTGGGGGACAATCAATATTTTTTCTGGCTGGCCGTTATGGAAAGCAGCCATGACTCTCCTTCATGAGCCTTAGAATCTCCTAATGCCATGAAACCATGTGATCATATTTCCACAGTTTCTGCTCCAGAAAAAGGAGAGAGAGGATATGTGGGGTCCAGCCAGTGGGGGACTTGAAGGAGGTAGAGACATTTTTTTTTTTTCTCAAGGAAAATTTATTTCTATGAGAAAGGCAAGACTTACATGTTATGAGAAGGGTACCTGGGCAGTTACCTGAACTGCCAAGTCTTAAGTCACATTGTATGTATTGCTTAGCCTTCCAGACAGCAGCATCTAATGGTGACAAGCTCATCACACAGGACTCGACTGGAACTTTTTGATTCTGTTCTCTGAGCTCTGCATTTTAAACTACAAAATGGATGGCCCAGGAAATGCTCATCCACCACATCAGTGTCTTCCTCCAAAGCCAGATTTCCAGCTAAAAACAAACAAAAAAAGAAACTTTATTAAAGCAAAATCGCAGAAAGAGAAGAAACTCATAATGACAAAATACCAAGCCTTTAACCATGCACACCAGCCCCTGATGTGTGGACCCTGCCTGTCTACACTCATTAATCACTGTCATTATTGCACAGCCTCTCTTGTGCTCATGGATGACTCTGGGTCATGGTTCTCGTGACTTTCAGTAAAGCAACACAATTCTAAAGATGCTCAACAAGCTACTGTTGAGTTCTTCCCATTTCATGTCATTAAAACCTCATTTTCTTTCGGAATGAGCTTGTCAAATTATATATGTTTATTTGCAAGGTTGAGTGAGACCACAAATTGACTAACCACGGATGGAGGCCACTTTGGTACACGACCCATGCACGGGACGAGGAAATGAAGGAGTTGAATAAGGATGACTGCCTCGTTTGATAGTCTGGTTCTCCTCTCAGAAGAGAATCAATGTGCAGAGTAGTGGGAGCTGCTACAATTATCGTCACAATGGGAAAGGGAAAGCTGAAATTCCTATGAATGAGCCCAAGGGGAGAATATGGAAAAAATACAGTTAGAAAGCAAGAGGAAAAGAGAAACCTTAAATGAGTGAGTGGGGCTGGATGTAATAACAGACACTATTAAAAATATAAAGGTCCCACTACACATTTAAAAAACAAAAACTGATCACAGCAATTTCTTGAGGAGTGCTGGGATTTTGAAGACGAATTCTCACTTAGGTTTTCAGGAAGTGTAAACATGCTTCCCAGGCTGAGCAATCTTCAAACTGTGGTCACAGGGTCATCCATGCATGTAAAGCTCTGCTCAGTTCTCAGCAGGCTGAGATGCCTTGCCATGGATAATGCCAGGACAGAGTAGAACATGGTCCTGTCTGTAATGGGAGCTTCCTGTTGCCTATGAAGACTCAGGAACCACTTTGCAGTCATTTAGTTTAAACATTAGGAAGGGAAATTACGTGCCTGATTGCTGAACAGAAATTAATCATTCTGATGTCAAAGCTGTTTAAAAGGCTTTTAAGACAGGAATACTGAATCTAGAGAAGTATCTACTTAAATCTTCTCATAAAAGATTGTGATAATTTGTTTTTTCAGTACTACATTTTCCTTTTTAAAATCTAAAGTGATTTTGTTATAGTTTTAGATATAAAGCATCTTTTAAAAAAAAAAATTTTGAACTCCTACATTTTAACCTTCTAAAATGTAAACGTGATTAGGCCCGCACTGCCCACTGGGCATGAATGGTATGGGGATCACAGCCATGATTATGCAAATCCAATCAAATGGCTTTGATCTCAGAGGCAAGGGAAGCCCACAGCATTGAAAAGCTGTCCTGCTTATGGGTCACGATCTTTGTCCTAACTTCTGAACACATCCCGGACTAATCCTTTCCTCTCTGCTCCCTTCACAAGCCAAACACTGACAGGGAAGCACCTTCCTTCTCTGGCTTTCTCCCTCTTCTTGCCCTAAATGTTGTAAATAGAATATAAAAGTTATTAAACATTCTGAAATGTCCTCACACTGGCCCCCATTCTTGAAAGATTCAGATTATGTCATACAAAGGTTATTGTTTAACTATTATTGAGTTGATTTCTTTTGCCCTGGAAATAGCCAAAATCCCCTGCATCGAGGAACAGAAGAAACTGAAACCGGAAGACTCCCTTATGCCCCATTTACACCCAGAGAACCCCATATTTCACAGTTCAGCTGTGGGACAGATTGTGTGGAAGACTTACCCTGCTGTGAGCAGGGGAGACATCACACCTTTTACTTAACAATGCTGACTGCACACTTATCCCTTCTTCTCAGATTTTTTCCCCCCCTTGGCTTGAAATATCAGATGTTCCTTCCAGTTAACAGTTCTCTGAGGCAAAGACCCAGGTAAAGGCTTATTCCGGCTTGAGTAATCCAGGATTAGTATCTCCATCTCCTCTGTTGCCAAATAAAAACAGCAGCTGGCAGGCACGTCTGCTGAGTGAATAAGCTGTGTTTGTGTACACACTACCTTTATTGTGCATTACAGTCAGTGATGGATCTTAAAAATTCAGTGAGAAAAAATGTGGTGCAGAGAAAAAGAGTAATAGTTCCAGGGTCCAAAAGGCTGGGATTTCCTTAAAAAACAAGTCATAGGAAATTGACAAAATTCCACTGTCCTAAAGTCAATGACTATTTTATGAATGTTTGTTTAGAAAGGGTTTGGTTACAATCTGCCAAGCTACACCAAAAGGATACAGGACAGTCCTTCTAGAAGGAAACAGTCTCCAAGTTGGATAGTATCTTGTCAAAGGGGGATGCGCTGCCGTTTGTTTATTAAAGTATAATGACATCTCCTAGGAAGGGGTGAAAGGAATGTGCAAGTGTTTGCTCAAGATGGTTCAGTCAGCAGTTTCTGAGTTGAACCGAAGAGACAAACATACATCTGAAAAAAGACGCAAAGATCCATTTGCTTTTGGAATGTGGACTACTGTGTGAACGTCCTTGTAAATTCTGTACATAGTTCACTGAACTGTCCCCTGTGGCGTGGTGGTCTTCAACTTTGGGGGGATGTTTGAACAACCTGAGCACTGTAAATAACGTAAGCTTACGAAGCATTTGCTTTTATTCATAAAGTGAAATGATTAGTGATTTGGGCCCAAACCAGAATCTCTCCAGCTCTTGCTCTTTCATGCATTCAGTCATGTGACTCTGCTGTAAGCCATAGCCAGGTGTCTGTGATCACTGCCTCATGCCTTTACCCACTCAAAGGGACAGCAGCTGCCTAGAGGGCTGCCAACCTATGGGGCCAAAGAACAGAGCACCAGCAGAAACAGGAAAGGGAGCAATCTGCTCCTTGAACAGTCATGAAAAGTAGATACTCTGTTTTCAGTCGCTGTGGCTATTCGTATCAAAGACTGAATTACTGATGCTGCTTCAGGGGTCAGGGATGGAAGAGATGCTCAAAATCCACAGGTAATCCAAAGCTTTGTCTGCACCAATAGCTTTAGCATCTAACTTCTTTTCCACTACATTTTCTAGAACTTCTAATAAGACTAGAAATGAATAGAATTGATGGGTTTGATCAGGGTGAACAATAAATATCCAAAGGATAGGCAGGGGTACAGGGAGAAACAATAAATGTCCTGGATAGCACCAGGTGGCAGACACATACCCGAAAGGTACAGAGGTAACTATGTCCTTACTTCTAAAGGTAGAGAAAAATTTTGGTACAAACTGATCAAGACGGCAAACACAGGTATTTAACTTGGGGAAAGAGTATGTGCAGTGTGAGCTGCTTGAATTTGAAGAACCTGGTAATTAAAAAGTTCCAGATATTCTTTCCTCCAAGTTTTCGGAGTTCTTTCAAAAGTCTTCAAGATGTGGGCTGTTATGGCACGGAATGTGTTTCCATGCAAACTGGCAATCCCAGAGAGAGTGACAGCACCAAAAGACACTCAAGCCATTGAAGACCGAGATTGGTTTCTCAGTGTTAGAGGGAAAGGTGCCCTCCTTGGAGGTAAAATCCTTTGTGTCATTTTACATGGTAGCAGAGTATACATGGGGAACTATTATTTTGGGACATTTTAATTCCAAGATGTGACCCACAACCACCTGAACACACAAAACACACCTTGTTGGAACTAATCCATTCTGTCAATTTTCAGGTTAGAACACACTGTGATTTTTACCTTAGCTTTCCTTCAGATAACCCATCAGCTGGAATGATTGAAAGTGTAATTGTTGGGAGCTGCAGCAAGCTTTTGATAGAAATTCTTTATAATAAGTGAATTACAAAACAGAAAATATTCAATTCCTAGAAGGGTAGGAATGAGGATTCTGTGTTTTGACACCTCCCATGGCAGGAATTTCCCATTAAAATTGAAGCAGTCTAACAGATTTTTCTTGTTTCTCTTTTACCTAGTCAGAAGTCTTTGGCATATTAAGGGACTTGCATCAAGAGACTCAGAACCATTTTTGATTGGATCCCAAACCTCTTGTGTATCATGGATTTATCACACACAAAAAAAAAATTCCAATGAGAATTCAAATTGGGAAAATTGATACTCCTGAACCAGTTGAGAAGGAATTCCACTCTCCAGAGCAACAATCCCCATATATTCTGTCCTGTGGACAATCAAAACAAGTCAGTACACACCGGAGAGATCAAATAACCTGTTATATTTGCCTTAGGGATACAGGGTCACAGATACATTCATTAAAATTGTCTCATTCCAAAGCCAAAGGATGATCAAGAGCAATATTATTACCTGGCTCTTGCCTCTTCCCGGGTTTCCCTTTGAGGAGAAACAGGAAAGAGGAGACACTCCCAAATATATTTTTATATGTTCAAATAACTAAAATATTATATGTGTATTTTGAAATTTTGGATTTTATAAAATAGATGAACTTCTGTGTCTTTTTCTTTCCCAACTACATACCCAATAAAATCGATTCCTTTACTTATTGCCCATCTCATTTCCAAAGCTCATATGCTATCTTGCTTATATTTAGATGGCAGCTTCAATCTTTGAACTTACATTGTATTTCTTCATTAAATTCACAAACAAAAAAATTATAATTCTTCCCAATTTCTACTCATAATGCCTTTAAAAGGTCTTCAGAGGCGAATCTTTTAATTGTGGCCACCTCTGAAGACCCTTGAATTATTTTTGTTTGTTTTTTTAAGAGTACACATGTTTACAAACATCTTCTCTCTCCCAAATTTTTCAGAATACAGTAGAAATGAAAATAATGAGCTTAGACCTGTGGATGATTATGCTCTCTATACTGTACACCATACAACATGCACTATAATATTGAAAGGCTAAACAGTGGTGGAGAGAGGGAGAAATAATGATGGAAGACACCTTGGAATCAGAGTGGAGGTATGCCTCCACTCAGGTCTGTGATTCTTGATATGCCAGCAGATGACTTCGAGTTTTCTTCCAGAACCAAGTGTCAAAGGTTAGAGGGGCTCATTTACGTGGGAGTTTAACAAATGGTGCCGGTTCACCATGGTCCCTGCTGATGCAGCCCCACAAATCTAATCCTAGTCTTTCCTGCATGCCTTTGAGAGTCAGCCACTTGGTGTCAAGCTAATTGAGGACTACTCATAGTTCTTCCAAACCTCATCCAATACTCAGTTACAAAGGCAAGTAGCAAAATTATTTTACTGCTTTTATAATATTCTGTACTACAATCTTCCATTTTAGGAAAGTATCTTTAAGGGACTCTCAGATAACATTCATCCATGTGATCTACTCTTTGTTTTTAGATCTTTAGAAGATATAGACGTTCTTAAACCATATCCTCTGTAACATGGTCAAGAAAAAGCCATAAAACCCTCTTTTGTGGATGGAAAAGCCAACTTCTAGCCAGCAACTGAGCCCAAACATATTCCGATGACATCTGCAGTTACGAACTTCTTATCTCTCTATGTCCCTAGAATGAAACAACCAAATACGCTTGAGCTTTCAAGCCAGATGCAGCTTCCCATCTAGATGAAAGAGATTCTGGGTCCTTAGAACCCATTACTCATCTTTCTTTCTCCTTTCCCCTTGTGTCCTGCTATACCACTTGACCACTCCAATTAGTCTGATATTTGAGATACAGCCATGGCCAAAAACTGAAAGTTTATTAGATTGTGATTAGTCTTGCGGTTATTCGCTAGCCAATGTACCCTCCCCATCCTAGTCTCTGAACATGATCACCAAAATGATTTCTGCAAGTATCCTTCACTTTTACTGAGTGTTTATGATTCTCCTGGAGCCTTCAAACTGGTGAAAATTGTTAGGATATTCTTTCCCCATGCAATTGCAAAGTGTCTGTGGATCTGTTATACATGGCTTTAAGTGTGCTCATATGTGTTTTCTTATATATCTTATTTGTTGAAATATTTTATCATTTATTATATTGAATTTTTTAAAGAAAATTGTTAGGATAATGCCTAGACATACCATTTTTCTGCTGTATGTCAGGCTATGAATGGAACACCTTCTTTTTTTACAAAATTAGCTGAGTGGTCTGCTCCCTGCCTCAGGCATCCTTCAAAGATGATTCTTCCAACTTCCCTATGTCCTGGTACACTCCTGCTCCTCATAAAGCAATGAGGTGATTGCTTTCTTTTCTGCTTTCCCATGGTGTTTTTGACCTATAGATGGAGTCACACCTAACAATATCATTTTTTTTTTCCAGAGAAAGGAGGCATTCCTAATTGTTAAAGTCCTAACTGAGGTGAGGTTAGTATTTTCTAACACAGGAGTATCTGCTGAGATCCATTCAGGTGCAAGTGACTCTCAAAGGATTTTTGTACAATCAAAACATTGTTAGCTCATATAACAGTAGGATTCGAAGAAGAGACTCATGTAGATTGCTTATTTCAGGAATATAAGACCCAAGACGCTTCTTGGGTTCTCTGAATATTATCAGCACTCAGTTTAACTGCAACAGGGTTGCACAGCCTATTCCTCAGATATTCATACTGAGGGCCAGAAACAGGGTAAGTCTTGCCTTGGGTTACTTTGCAAAGTCAAGGAACTCTTTCCTCATCTCAGCCCCTGAAACCATCCTTTTTGTCCTGTTGGCCAAAGGTTAAGTTAGACATCGTTCTTGAACCATTCACTGAAGAGTGTGGTTATCATGACTGGCTTATAACAAATACCCAGAGCTGTACCATGTAAAAGTTAATTAATAACAAGTATAGAAAATCCTTTCCCACCAAAATATAACAGCACTTTGCTCTACATCCCAGCCCTATAAAGATATAACACCGGTATGGGGACACAGAAGCCCAAATAGCTTAAATAACTTACCCAGATCTGATAGTTACTGATGAAGTGGGTATTCATTCCCAGTTTTTCTGCCTCCAAAGGCAAAATTTCTACCTCTCCCATATGATCTATATTTAATCTCTTTGACCTCGATGATACAGGCTTTTAGAGTAATTCAAAGATGTGTGAAACTTGGAAGAAGAGAGCTCTCACATCCAAGACTAAGGTACCGTGCCCAGTAGATGCTGTTCAGTTTCTTTTCTGTCCACTCCACCCTCTCTCTACTCCCCACACAAGAGCCTTTCGTTGTTGTTCGAAGAGAGCAATGAAGAAAAGCCTGTGGAGCAGCAGCATTTGGCTGTGCCCCCTTCTTTGGGTCCACAGCATTATTAGAGGCTCACATAACCCAGTTTGCCTGAGTTGGAGTGGCAAATTAAGCGACCGCTTTAAATTATCGAGTCTCAGAAATCTGGAGGATGTAGGAAATACGGATAAGTTTACTGATGGAGTTTATAGTCAGTCCCAGAAGACACGACTTACCTCCTCATGAGCCACTTCCCCCCCCACACACACCAGGCTTCACCACTCCTGTCCACTCTGCTTTTCATTCTTCTCTTGAATTAGCTCCTTCAAAATTGATCCATAGACCTTCACTACCCTTAACTTCAATAGCCAGACATCATCCCCAAATACTCTTACTGCTACACTTCAAGATTTACATCTTGGGGTCAGTGGCAGGATGCTTTTCCTAGCTCCACCCCAACGATAACTTAGAGAACAAGCCACCAGCACCCAAAATATCCATCTGAGTACCCATCCTCATTACTTCACCCACTGGCACCCTTCAATTCTTGTAGCAACTCTGCCCAATGACATTGGGTATCTTGTGTGTTTCTAGTACTCTTATAAATAGTCTGCCTCGCTAAGGAAAAAAAAAAATAGTCCTTGAGAGTAAACACCCCATTTTCTAAGTATTTTGTAGAATCGAATGCATAAAATCTCTAAATAAATTAAAAAACAAAATCATACTTACAGTTGAGTTCTGGCTGACCCCATGCAGAGTGGCCACTGGGATTTTTTTTTCCCACTGATTGAGTAGGCAGACATAATCTTCCTAATACCTCCATTGTACACAAGCTCTAGCAGAACTGCATTTTGCATCCTAATTACTTTTTGCTTTTCCTTTCTTTATACAAAAAAGGGAATGTTTTCCTCCATAGTGTCATTTCTACCCCTGCCAATTCTATGCCTGCCTTATTAAAAGTCTTTTGAATGTGTGGTCTACGGGGTGTTTGAAGTTGGAATGGCACTGCAGTGTCAATGGCACACTCCAGTGTGAGTGATAAGAGAATAGTCATGGAGGATACTGTACAGCAAGGTCTGCTGCTTCTAAGACATAAGCACTAGCACCAGCTAGGAAGGAGGGGCAGCTCTTAACCACTCACCACTGCTTCTCAGTTATTAAAAAGCAGGGCATGTGAACAGTCTTGTGTGAACCTTTCAGTCGCTGACACTGCTGTTGTGTATTTACATGCTTTCATAGAAGAAACGTGGGACTTGCACACCTTACCTCCCCGTGAGAACCAGTCACCCCAGTTTGACTAAGTAGTATATTTTTCTACGTATATTTTCCCCAAGACATTAGATTTCAGTGTGTTTGGTTTTTCTTTTTTTATCAACACGTTATTGTCTGATTTCTTTATCTTTAAAAAAAAAAATTCACTGGATAAAGCTTGAAATGTGTTTTGCAGGAGTGCCCCTGAGATATTTTTAAGAAAGCCCCTGGATCATTCTAACTCACTGTAGTATGAATTATGAATCCAAATAACCTTTTATATTCAAAACATCTACTATTTTTCTAAGGAGGGAATGATTATGATTTTATACGCATGCATTTATTCACTGTTGCTCAACCCCCATATTTTAAAATAAGCCAATAACTCTCTTGATAAAAATTACCATGTGACATTTTTAAAAGGTCAAGATTGCTTGAGATTTTTGAAATTCCCAATGATTTAAATGCTTACAAGGTCCAAACATGCTTTAACTTTTTAAAATAAGTTTTTGGTTTTCACCACCAAATGGCAGCATTTTGTGCCATTGTGAAGGACACATGATGACTGATGTAACATTGGTATATTATTTAGGTTAAGAGGAATGAAAACTGGAGTTTACAATGCCTGTATAAACACAAATCAAACTGTTTTCTAGAGAAAAGCATCTGGATTGAAGATGGCTTTCTCAAAATACTTCTCCTGGCTGCTTGTCATCTCTGAAAAGTTCTTTCACTCCTCTTGAATTTAACACGGGGGTTGAATCTATGGTACAGGCTTTCCTCTCATGCAGGGGTGGGGGCGGGGAATCAAGTCTTCTTAGGCTAACGAATGAGAAATGACGATGCAGTGATTCAAACACCTCTTTGGCAACTGCTTCCCTGAAAACTTGACTGAATCCAAACCTTATCCAAACCTGCCAATCAAGCATCTGCCGCTTTCATTCAGAGCATCCTGTGTTAAATGGCTGTGGCTTTCAAAGCAGGTGCTACAACACGCAGAAAGAAACACACACCTTCTGTTGCCTCTCAGCTAAGTTCACCAAACATGTCAGAGGACATTAAGTGGTTAGTTTTTTGTTTTTGTTTTTGTTTTTTTTCCTTGTGTTTTTTGAATCTCCACTAACCAGTTTTGCGATCTACCCTCCAGGCAAATTTGATTAAGCAACTCCTTATCCTGATTGGCATTACACAGTTCTTGTAAATAAAAGAACTCCTCTCTGGTTTTCGGAAGGCAAACTTCTTGCACTGAAAAGAAACAAATATTTAATGATCTTTTACTCTTCGACATGGTCTTTTCTTTCTAACATAAGCTGGTGATAATTTTTGCATTCCTATTGGACCACTAACGAAATTAAATGGCAAGGAACCGTACTTCTGAAAACCTGTAGAAATTTTTTAATGAAATGGCGCAGGCTTGAACAGGTGCCAAGAAAGGGAAAGATGGACTCCTTACTTTTATAACTCAAGATTTCTATTTTGTATCAATATATGCTGCATTTTCTGACTGAAATTGCTGTCTGTCTCACAGGATTTGTGATCTTCTGTCGCTTTTTACATTTGAAATCAAATTTCATACAGTAAGCTTGTTTGTCCCTTTTTGTTTGGGATTCGATTAGAATATTTTGTTTCATTAATTTCTTTTTTATGTGATAAAAAGCAAGTGACTTATGCCTTCATTAACTCAAAAAGCTATCTGTGGACAAAATCCATGAAGCCTGTAGACTGTGATTTATATAAATAAAAGGCAGATCTCCCTGTAAACAGTGAATTTGTGAATAAGGAATTGTTCAGTGGCCTCTGACTCCTGCCCCTTTGTCCCTTCATGGCCTTCTTTCTATTCTGAGTCATCCATCAAGTGATTGTGTATTCCTGTAAAATACAAAATCAAATTACATGCTATCAGGTATGGACACAAGAGACGCTTGCGCTCTCAATTTCAGGACTCACAGCTACCCTCACAGTCATGGGACTGTCCTTCACTCAGTGTTTTCGTTAACAGTGTGGCTTTGCTATAAAACACGGCATTGTTTGCTTTGGTATACAAGATTTTAACTGTTGCAGCAAATGAAAGACAGATAGCACCTCAGAAAGGCTGGTGTTACAGACCATCAGCTCTGCTTGTAACTGTGAAACTTCTGAAAGGGAACTTATTGCTGTAAATATGTACAATTTATGTCAGCTTATTTCAATAAAAAATAAAAAAATCAATTACAAATGGCTACGTATAAAACGTTTCCTTTGTACTATGTTTTAAAACACGCAAGATTCCAGGCATAGCTTTCTATAATCCTTTAAAATGTTTAGGATTCTGAATTTATTGTTTGACAGCTTTTCTGGTAAAAACTGATACAAAGATCAATCCCTGTAGGTAAAATAGATGTTTTGCAGAAGTATTTAAAAACAAACAAACAAACTGGGAAACAAAAAAGACAGTACGTTAGTGGGAGTTTGTTTTGCACTACTTTTAGGAAACATGCCTTATAAACATGAACAGATGGAGCATTTCTATGGTGGATGGGGGCAAGGACATGAACAGTCTCCTTGTACTAAAATTGATATCTAACAGAAAGTCAATAAGCATCCACTTGTGAGTGGCTTATGTCAGTTTTTTTTTCTTTTATCTCTGCTGTACACATGAACACTAGAGCTGTCTATCAGTCTTTCCTCATTTGAAGACCTCTGATTTCCAAACTCATTCTCTCCCTTGAAAAACTGTTGACAATAAAATAATGAACAGGCTCAAGTCCTGAAGTCCATTTATCTGTAAATTGATGGTTAGCAGAATAGCTTCCCAATAAGAGTCTAAATTCCAGCCTGGGGACAAGTTTAACATCAATCTAACAAAATAACTGGGAATCACCACTTTATTGGAGCACTGAGTTTCATCCTGAAGGAGGACTTTTTCATGGCATTCGATATTGGCAAACATTCCCAGGAGGCTAGTACGATGTGGGAGAAGTAAACACCCATCCGATTTTATCTAAATTAGAAAAGGAACAAATATGTGAGTATACATTTAGTAAGAAATGTAAGATAGATGGTCCATGTCTTTTATCTTCCTACACAAAGAAAAATATAAGTGTTATTAATTCAGCAAGGAATTGGTAGTTATTATGTAAGAGAAATAAGGAAAGGGTAAAGGAACCATGTAAACCTTCCCAGTCTCACAGAAAAAGTAATTAAATGAGACTAGGGCAGACCAGCATGACCACACACTCCCACGGATTACAGAGTCAGCGTGGATGTGCCCAGGCAAAACTGAGTGACAGCATCCATCCTCTGCTGGTGTGCAAGAGGACCCTCTGGAGGCCTGGGGATGTCTGTGTACAGTCAATGAGTGCTTGTAGTCACTAGGATCCAAGCAGTGCCACCTCTGAGTCCATCACATCATTTCTTTTAACCTGGTAATAATTCTGAAAATTTCCAAACACATTCATTCACCTTCCAGGTTCTACATCAGGAGCCTACAACTCGCTCCAGCCAAGGAAGCAGGTAAGGTCACTGCAGATCTTCACAGTGCCCTCTTCTCCATCAAATCCACCCCCAGTCTCATCCTCAGATCTGTAGCAGACCACCTGCTGCAGTCTCCACAACCCCTGCCCCCATCTCCAGTGTATCACACAGATCTCCTCAAACCTTCCTCCTCACTCGTTCTGTTATCCTGGCCCCCAACTCCAGCAGGCATTCCCTGGGAATCTGCCAGTCAAGCCAGAGTAGCAAAGTATACCAGCAAAGCAGGTAGGGGAACTTCAGATCTTTACTCTCCATCCCCTCCTCTAAATCCAGTCCTTGGGTCTCATCCCCAGATCTGTATCAGGATACGCACTGTGACTTCCCCTTACTCTCTGCCTCCCACAACCCCATGTGCGGAGGACTAAGCAGAGTTGATGGAACACCCTGCTTTCCTCCCTCCTGTGGGTCTCCTCAGCCAGTCACCCCTAGTCCATCCCCATTCCTAAGTGTCAGCTCCCAATACCTAGAAACACATTTCACCCAGAAATTACCAGTGGCCACACCTATCAGGATCCCAGAAAAATTCCCTAGCAGGCAATACACAACCACAACACCCTCCTAAGAACCAGAGAGGGCAACAGAAACCAAGGAACAAAAATACTCACCCAACCAAGACAAGACCTGACATCGGCACCTAGAATTACAATCATCCCAAACCCGGGTGCTTAGAGGCCAAAGTAAGAACACAATCCATAATAGCCAGGACAATATGTCCCCGCTAGAGTCCAGCAACCCTACTTTAGCAGGCCCTGAATATTGCAACAGAGCTTCAGCCCAGGACAAAGACTTGAAGATAGCATTTGTGAATATGATAGAGACCTTTAAAGAGGAAAGGAATGAATCCCTTAAAGAAATTTATGAAGACACAAACAGTGAAAAGAAATGAACAAAACAGTTCAAGACCTGAAAGTGAAAATAGAATCAATAAAGAAAACTCAAATTGAGGAAACCAAGAAACAAAAAGTTTAGGAACTCAAACAGGATCCTCAGAGGTAAGACTCATCAACAGAAATCAAGAGATGGAAGAGAGAATCTCAGGCATTGAAGACACGATAGAAGAAATGGATACCTCGGTCAAAGAAAAATGTTAAATCAGAAAAAATCCTGGCACAAAACATCCAGGAACTCTGGGACACTATGAAAAGAGCAAAGCTAAGAATAATGGGAATAGAGTAAGGAGAAGAAACCCAGAGCAAAGGTACAGAAAATATCTTTAACAAAATCATAGAAGAAAACTTCCCTAACCTTAACAAGGAATTGCCTATCTAGGTACAAGAAACATAAAGAACACCAAATGGACTGGACCATAAAAGAAAACCCTCTTGACACACAACAATCAAAACACTAAAAGTATAGAACATAGAAACAGTATTTTAAAACTGCAAGGGAAAAAGACCAAAAAACATAAAAAGGCAGACCTATTAGAATGACACCTGACTTCTCAGTGAAGACTTTGGTGGTTTAAAAGAAAATGCCCCCCAAAGGGAGTGGAACTATTAGGAGGTATGACTTTGTCGGAGTAGGTGTGGTTTTGTTGGAGGAAGTATGTCATTGTGGAGGTGGCTTTGGGGGGAGGGGTGTCATATATGTCAAGCCACGCCCAGTGAGACAGTCTACTTCCTGTTGCCTGCATATCCACATGTAGCAGTTCCTTTTCCAGCACCATCTCTGCCTGCAGCCACCACGCTCCCTGCCATGATGATAATGGACTGAACCTCTGAAACTGTAAGCTGCCACCTCAATTAAGTGTTTATCTTTATAAGAGTTGCTGTGGTCATAGTGTATCTTCACAGTAATAGAAACCCTGACTAAGACAGAGACTCAAAAGGCCAGAAGGGCCTGGATAGATGTTCCACAGACATGGGCCCAGACTACTATACCCAGTAAAACTTTTTTTTTTTTTCGGTTTTTTCGAGACAGGGTTTCTTTGTGTAGCTTTGTGCCTTTCCTGGAACTCACTTGGTAGACCAGGCTGGCCTCGAACTCACAGA